CGGACCCCGAGCCAGGCTGCTCCTCGGCCCGCAGCCCTGGGAGCCTGAGCCCGAAGGTGGGCACGCAGCCAGCCGGCCAGGCCGGCTCGCCACGAGGCGCTGCCCACACTCAGGCTCCCCTAGCTCCCACCGCCCGTGGGGGCCAGGGCCCGCCCTCCGCTCAGGACGCATCTTGGCGAGGAGCCCGGGACCGCGCTCAGTCTGGGGCCACCTGAAGCGGGGTCTCCAGGCACCCACCCCGCCCCCGGCCAGGCGGGCGCATCTGCGGTCACGTGGCCTCTCGTGGGAGTCGGTCATTTCAGTCACACTAATCTCCCACGGTCACGCCAGAATGAGCCCCAAACCGCACCCCGCAGCCACCCCGGGCCCAGGAGGGCAGCTGCGCCGTCACGCTCCCCGTCTGCCCCAGCCCAGAGCGCGGGGAGGGCAGCCCCCACACCGGCGCCAAGCCAGCCGCGCGAGGAAGCCTCTCAGGCCTCAGGATTTAACGGGTAGAGACGTGCAGCGCAGGGCCCTCTGGGCCAGGGACCGCGGGTCCAGACCGCCCCAGCGCCCAGTGGACGGCAAGGCGGCCACCGCAGGGCCCTCAGCCCAAGCCCGAGGCGGTGGGGAAGCCACAGCCTGCCCACACCTGCCGGTCGGCGGCGCCAGACCCTCAGCCCCAGTGTCTCAGAGGCCCGGAGCCAGCCCTACCGCAGGGCCGGGGACGCACCTCCCCAGCAGAGGACAGGTGTGGCGCCCAGGCCAGGAGGGCAGGACCCGGCGCCCCCCGAGAACCAGGGCGGGCTCTTAGGACGGACCCTGAGGAGAAGCCATGTGAGGACCCACGCCGGCCATGCCGGTTGGGCCAGGCAGGTCCCCAGGGCCATCTCTGACCGCAAGGCCCGGGGCAGAGGAGGGAGGGGCGCTGCGCCGGCTGGCGCACCGGGGCTCACACCCTGTGCCGCCCAGCTGCTGGTCAGTGATGAACAAGGGCGCAAGGGCGGACCCGCAGGAGCCCGGCATCCAAGGGCAGGACTGTGGCCCAGAGGGCTGACAGCCAGGGGCCCAGCCAGCTGCCCGCCGGCTCAGAGCGGCTCTCCGTGTCCCTCTTGGACTACCGTTTGCAGCCTGCACCCCACTCCTCTCGTCCGAGGCTGTGTGGCCCCTGCGCAGCGGCCCCCGAGCGGCACTGCCCTCGCCTCTCCTGAGCGAGGGCGGCAGGTGCAGGGCCCCGGCGGCGCGGCAGTACCTGGTGGGCACAGCGCCTCGGGGGTGGGTTGGGGGTTTCCACTTTGGTCCAGGCGTCCTTCCTGATGCTGTACACGTAGAGCTCGTTATACACAAAGGTCTGCAGGGCAAAGGGGTTCGCTGTCACACACGGCGCGCCCCGCAGGCCACAGTGCGAGGGAATGGGGACCACGTAAGTCATCAACGCTTGGCGAGGGGCCACGGAGCCCGGGCCGGGCACGAGACGTGGCCAAGTGCCTGCGGCGGGGAGGGTGAGCTGAGGCCCCGCAGAGGGCAGCTCGGTCAGCGCGGCCACTCTCTGCGCAGAACTGTGAGGCACGTGGCCATTTCCAGCCCCGGCGGGCAGAGGGAAGGTGAGTGAGCAGCAAGAGTGTGGCCCACAGGGAGGGAAAGCCAGGCGGGGCAAGGGACAGCGCCTCCTTGGGAGCACAGCTTTAAGCTAATTTTAGCCCAAATGAGACCCAGGGAGGTTTGGGGAGAAAAATGAAAACATATACTTTACTTTTTGGCCATTGAAATATTCACCTCCGAAAAGGATTAATTCATCTTTCTCGGGATGAGCGGAGAAGGAGGCATTTAACCTGCAAGAGACAAACGCGGAGATGAGCACAGACACAAGCGGGGATCCCGCCGCAGACACCCGCGCCCCGGCACGAGCGTCCCATCCTGCTCCCGCCACAAAGCCACCCCTGAGCTGACACGGGGACAGTACAGCCACAAGACCCGACAAAAGATCTTGGGTTCTCCACCACTGACACGCTTACTCGTGCCTGACATTCACTTTCACCATGAGACTTTACTTTTTTTTTTAAGATTTATTTATTCATACAAAACTGGGGTACAGGCCAGAGATGCGGGAGGTGAGAGGCTTCACCAGAGACAGAACAGGAAGCAGAACAGGCAGATGGACGAAGTCCACTGCTGAGGGGAGCAGTGGGCGGGTCAGGAGAGGTCTGCCGCGCCATGTGGATCTTCTCTGGGGCAGGCGGGGGTCGAACTCATGCGGAAGTGGCTTAGGCTTACCCCGCTGCGCCACCAGGGAGGCCCCTCACCATGAGACTTTTAAAGCACCATGAACACACACGGCAAAAGCCTGCATGGCTTTGCGTGCCCCGCCAGCCACGGACAGCAGGGCCACTGCCGTCTGAGCCCCACTGTGGGAACGCTGACAAGCACTACCGCCTCTCCAAGGTGGTTAAAACCCGCAGGCCGAAGTGGCCTGGGCTGCAGGGCGAAACAACACCGGCACCTGATGCCCGGCCAGCGACCTACCTGGCTGAGCCTTGAGCAAGCAGGCGCTGTGGGCGGTGGCCCTCAGTGGAAAATCTTGCAAACACATAGCTAGCCTGCTGCTGACTGGACGCCTCACCAGAGGCACAGTCAACAGACACGTGCTTCTGGGGGATGGAAGCTGTGCACCACATGCCCACAGCCACGCAAACCACACAGATCTTAGCTACGTCGCGAGAAACAGACAGTGAAGATGGACATGGGAAGACCATGGCATCTGTTCACAAGCAAACCTGCGCACAAGCAGACCCCGGCTGTTCACACCACATTGCAGGAAACTACAACAGCCTCCTCCGCCCACGTACCTGGGAGAAGGCGGGGAGCAGGGTGTTTCCACCACCTTCGTCTTCCCAGCATCCAGGGTCTGGAAGTGGGCGATGAGCGCCCCCAAGTCCTCCTAGGCAGACAGAGCCACGTGAAGTGGGGCATCAAAGTGGGGCCGGCTGCCCCACGCACTCCGCTCCTCCCACTTCAGAGACGCAGAGCGTGAGGTGCCGGGGCATCTCTTTCCCCACGCTCGTGGCCCCCAGGGGCATCCACTTAGCAAACCGCCTGCCTTCAAGCCTCTGCTGCCAGCCGTCCCCAGCCAGCCCCTCTGCTAGAAACCCGCCAGGGAGAAGAGTCCACTGGTGTCTCATTAGCGGCAGGTGTTGCTGCTCTGCTCCCAGGGCTTCGCTCAACACCACCTGGAGGTGCAGGTGAGCACAGGTAACAGGAGGCAGTTAGTACCCAGCGCTCACTTGGCACCAAAAGGCCCAGGGAGTAACGGGCACCTGCGCTGTCACTGCCCAGTGACAGCGGGGAAACAGGCCAGCGGCGGGAAGAGAGGCGGAGCCGCCAAAGTTTCCGGGCCCACTTGGTTTTCAGGATGGAAGCGCTTGACACACTCAAACGCCCCTGAAACATTACAGCCCTTCGGGAGGGAGCCAGCTTCGGACAACAGCAGCAGGCGCGCCAGGCGAAGCTGGGCAGGGGCAGCCGAGCGGGAGGGGCGGGGGCTGGCGGCGGCGCAGCCCAGGGGCTCCGGGGGCGCCGCGACGCTCCCCGCCCGGGACAGCTGCGAGGGTTACGGCCCCTCTTCTGGCGACGGGCTGAGCTCGGGCGCCAGGCCCAGCTCCCAGGCCAGCCCCACACAGGGGTGCGCCAGGGGCCGGGGCCTCCCGCGCCCAGCCGCGAAGCCGGCGACGCGCGCCGGGGGGCGGCCGCCACTCACCTCCTCCTTCCGCGAGCGCTTGGACACCTTCTTCTCCATCTTGGCGGCCGTCTTCTCCGCCCCGCGGCCCTTCTTCTCCTTTCTGCCCTTCTTGCCCATCCTGGACAGCACTCGCCGGGCTGGCCGCGGCGGCGTGGAGCGCCGGGGGCCGGGAGCGGCGCGCCGGAAGTGCGTCAGGGGCGGCGCGCGGTTCGCGTCACTTCCGGCCCTCCCCCACCGGACTTCCGGCGGCGCCGGCTCCGGGCCGCCTTTGTGACTCGCGGGCTCTGTGACCCTGGCCCGGGCGCAGGTCACCCCGCGACGCCCCAACATCTCTGCCGGGGCGGATCCACGCGCCCGTCCCGGACCCCACAGCCCCGCGCTCGGCCCACGCCACTCCCTGCCCGTGCCCTCACCCGCACGCCGGGCACTGGCCCGGCGCACACCCCCCACCCCACCCCACCCCCCCGCCATCCTGGCACGCCGGGGACCGGCCCGGGCTGAGGGTGTTGGGGTTTCCTGAGGGTAGGCACACCGCTTGGCTCTGGCGGTAACGCGACCCGGGGTAACGAGCCACACTGTCTACCTGGACGTTTTTGCAAAGGTTGCCGCGCTGTTCCACACCTCGGGGATTTTCAAACCCTGAGAGAAAACAGCCCCTTCTCCCACAAGAAGTGATCCAGAATCTGTGCCACGCTGGGAACGCTGTAGCCACCCAGAAGCCTGGCGAGGGGGCCTGCCCTGCACCTCTCACCGCCTCCCCGGGCCATAGAGAAGCCACCCCTGCCTTGCTGGCATCACAGCTTGTCACTACTTAGAAGGGGCCGCCCCTGGGCTTGTCATCCAGGAGACAGGAAAAATTAAGGACCAGCAACATCCTGACAATAGGGGCGCACACCGTGGCCTCAGTTCTGTGCTGTGTGGGTGAAAGGCCCAGGCACAGCCTCAAAAACTCCCTCGAGCCAGGCCTTTTCCCAGCCCCTCGGCAGCCGGAGAGGAATGCCTCTCCACCCAGCTGGAACACAGAGAAGGAGGAAATCTGGAAGAACCATAGGGAGCAATGGGCTTTAGGCTGCCTCTGGCTCTGCCCTCTTGCAGGAACAAGGCCAAGTTAAGAGCAGGTCAGGGGACCTGGCCCTGGGCCTCCCACAGAGTACGGCCCAGCTGTGAACAGCCACTCCACTGGGCTTCCCAGTGCTCTCACCAAGGCCCGCAGCTGCTCTTGCTGCTGGTGGCCTAACACCTTAAGAGCATGCAAATAACTGCGAGGCCAGCTCGGGATGAGCCCTGAGTTGCGCCCTGAGAGCCAGGGCCGTCCCCCGCAGGGCTGCGAAGGGCTAGGGGCCCCAGCGGGGCCAGGCTGGGACACGCAGGGTGAAGCCCTCCTTACGGGGAAGAATCCTGAAGCTACATTGGAAGGCCGGAGGGTTCTAAGTGTCATCGTGATTTACGAGCTGTTGAGAGTCTCATTACCCAGAAAGAGAATAGAACATTAAAATGAGATCAGAATCCTAAAATAGCAAAAAGATTAAGTACAGCGTCCTATTTTAGTGGAATTCACTTTTTTGAAACTTTAATGCGTTATCTTCGATCTAATACTGCGCTTCATTAATTTTTAGCGGTGTCTTCTGTGTGATGAGGTGCCCTCTGCTGCCTCCGAGTTGAAATCAGGCTAAATCAGACTAAATCTTGTGGCTGCATGAAAGAACCTGACCAGATAGTCGTCCTCACAACAGTGTGCACGTACGGGTGCTTGTCGGGGTGCTTGTCGGGGCTCTTGTCGGGGTGCTTGTCGGGGTGCTTGTCGAACGCCTGCCATCTAGAAACCAATAGCGAGCGAGCGTCGCTGCTCCACTGCAATAGCTTAGAAAAGCCAACTGCAGAGGCCCTCTGGTGGGCAGTGGGTTCAGGCGCAGCACTATGAAGCTACGGCCGCTTCGGGGAGTTTCATCCGCAGCCAGGGACTGACCTCTCCTGTCTCCCCGCTGCTGCCCTCAGCAGTGTGTTTCAGCCAATCTGTCTGTTCTGCTCCCCACTCTGTCTGGTGAATCCTCTCACCCCCTGTGGCCTGTACCCCAGTTCTGCACGCATAAATAAAGAAATCTTTTTAAAAAAGAAAAACGAACTGCAAAATACCCATGTAAGAGGGGCGCCTCTGTGCCGTGAAGCTGAGGCCGGGGTGGCTGACCATCTTTTCACATACCAACAGAGCCTGCTACAACCAGGTGTGACCCTGGACCAGGCCGTGGGCCTCCCTGCAAGCCGGCCTGCAGGAGACCGCGCCTCGCGTGGCCGGGGAGGGGGCGGAGGGGAGGGCGCGCCAGGTACGCGGTGACGTCGTGATGGCGCGGCTGCCGGCTGGCAGGGAGCAGGGGCGGCCAAGCTGCCGGTGTACTCTGCCCAGGACTCAGCTGTCTCAGGGGGCAGTGTCAGCCTCCCCTCACCCCGCCGGGGAGAGCGCGCTCCGTCTCCGAGGCTAAACAGGCCGCAGCACAGCAAAGGACACCGCTCAGTGTCCGGTGTTTGGGGAGGTTTTTGCTATTATGTATTTCTGACATAACTCACTGAGTTGAGACTCTGAGCATTTAATGTTCTCTCAGCACTGTGAAGTTCTCTGCAGCTCCCGCAGTGCCAGGTCGATCCCAGGCCGGGGAGGGACCCCAGGGCGCGGCAGGCCTCCCCTGTCTCCCCGCTGCTCCCTCAGCAGTGTGCTCTGTCCGTCGGCCTGCGCGGCTCCCTGCTCTGTCTCTGGCGAGTCCTCTCGCCGCCACACCGCTGGCCCGTGCCCCAGTCTGTGCAGACATAAATGAAAAGAACTTCATCCTCTATGCTGCTTCCCTGCATGCGGCAGGTTCCAGTGTTGCTTATTTTAATGGACACACGTTATATTATCAATTGTATGATGTTATTAACTATGTGATACATTAATGCAGTAATGATATAAACCTAATACAAATAAATACAACTCCCACTATACAGGAGGTGTAATACAAACTCTGCACTTCTAGTCTGAGGCGCGCGCTGAGCCGTAACAGCGCTCCCCACGCCCTCAGCTGCTGCGTCCCCGCCGCGCTCGCGGGCTGCTGTCCGGTTCCCACTCAGCCCGGGACACGTGCTGATTTCCCTTCCGATTCTTCCTCGACCCCTGGGTTACTTCAATTTTGTTTCCACAGGTGTGGAGAGTTCTCCAAAGATCTTTCTGAAAGTATCTTTCTCCTCTGCTTTTATGATTTTACCTTCATCTTCGTTATCCTTCAGTCGCACTAAAAAAGTTTACGTACTAATTTCTTTATCTGTGTCCAGGGACTCCCCAGGGACCCCCCCGGGAGCCAGCAGAGCTGCACCCCCAAGCCACTCAGCCTGTGCCCACTTCCACCCGTCTGTCTCTATGCTGGACCTTCCTCTCCGGCTTACCCACCAGCGCCTGCGTTTCAGGTCTGACTCGCTTTCAGCCCAGCCTGCTTGCAAACGTTCCAGTTCTTCCTGCAGTCTGCTCGTCTGTGGGTAGCTTCCCACCTGCAGACATTTCCAGCGGCCACTTCGTCCCTGGGTTGGTGCGGAGCTGCACGCCGGCCGTGGGGGCCGCCGTCTCGAGAGCTGTGCCGGCTTCTGCCCACGGCCACACGGCGCCAAGTCTTCCCTGCTGGGTCCAGGGTCCGGCTGAAGCTTCCTCAGATGACCCACGGATGGAAAGCTAGGCTGAGAGTCCAAGGAAGAGCCGGGCTGTGGGCGCCGCATCCGGCTGAGCCCCCCAACACGAGGCGACGTCCTGTCGTCCAGAGGCCCCCCTCCTGCGCAGGCACGGCTCTGGGACAGCGGTCCCCCGGCCTCCTCTGTCCTCCCTGGGGCGGCCTGACCGGATGCTCCCCTGCCCTGTGAAGCTACCAAAGCCCAGAAAGCAGCGGCTGCCACCCAGGGCTCAGAGGCCTTTTCTCTGCTCTCCTCGCCTGGTCTCTGGCCCGTGACCCTGCCAGCCCTCCAGGCCCTGAGCGCTCATCTCCGCTTGTCTCCGTGTGCTGGGTGGAGGTTGGAGCAAGGCCCTCGCCCCCACCTCATCGCGTCACTTCGCGTCCCAGTGCTGAGACTTAGCAGCTTCATTCACAGGTGCCAAGTTGTGGAAAATACAGGCAGGGCAGGGCCTCCGGGCGCCACCTCCCCTCCACGCAGCGGCTGCCACACTGGGCTCCGCGGGCCGTGAGGCAGTCCCCCACCCCGGCAGCCCCCCATGATCAAGGATTATTATTTTTTTTTAAGATTTATTTATTTCTGCATATAGAACTGGGGTACAGGCCAGAGGCCCAGGGGTGGTGAGAGGCTTCCCCAGAGACAGAGCGGGGAGCAGAACAGGCAGATGGATGAAGTCCACTGCTGAGGGTGCAGCGGGCGGGTCAGGAGAGGTCTGCCACGCCCTGTGGGTCACCTCCGGGGGCAGGCGGGAATCGAACTCATGGGGAAGTGGCTTCAGCTTCTCAGTGCTGGGCTTTAACCCGCTGCGCCACCAGGGAGGGCCGATCAAGGATTATTTTTAAAGATTTATTTATGCTTATAGAACTGGGGTACAGGCCAGAAGTATGGGGGTGAGAGGATTCCCCAGAGACAGAGAGGGGAGCAGAACAGGCAGATGGGCTGAGGGGAGCAGAGGTCTGCTGCGCCCTGTGGGTCACCCCTCCCTGGCCGGGTATTGAGCTCGTGCTGCGGTGGCTTCAGAGAGTCATAGTGTGGCGCCTTAACCCGTTGTGCCACCAGGGAGGGCCCAAGGATGTTTTTTATGAGTCATCGGTTGCAAAGACAGAGGAGGGGAGACAGCAGAGCCCAGAAGCGGCACAGAAAGTGGAAGTGAGACCGAAGCTCCCCAGGGAGGCGTGTGACCACGTGGGGGTCAGCCAGCAACCCGGGAGGTTGCAGGCCGCTCCGAGCCCCGGGACCCGCCCACACGCAGCTGGCCACGGCCCTGCAGGTGCCCGAGGGCAGCACACAGCACGCGGCCGGGAGACGCGGCACAGCCCACCTGGCGCCTTCTGAAAGGGCAAGCCGGGTGCTGGAAATGTCAGTGCACCCGAAGTAAACAGATTTATTCAACCGCTGCAGACACTCACTGTTTGGGCACCTGGCAGTCTAATCCCGCCCGACGGGACCAGCTCAGCCTTCGAGCCCAGCGTGCCCTTGTCTGCCTCTTC